TGTTATTTAAAAGTTAAGTTTTTAGACAAGCTCTATATAAATAAAAATTTTAATTTAATGATTAATTTTAAAAAATATTATTTAAAAATTAAGTTTTTAGACAAGCTCTCAAAAAAAAAAAATTACAAGAGAATGATTTGCCTATACTATTCATTATTTATAAACCTTTATCTAAGAGGTGAGAATCATATCAATTAATTAAAGTAAAAAATTTACACAAGTATTGATTTCAGTTTTTTTTTTTTTTTTCCTTATGGAACTTACAAGCTTGCACCCTTAGTTGGATAAATAATAACTTTTATATACATAAAAAAAAAAAATAACTTTTATAGAGTGCTTGATTTGACGGAGTCAAAAGGGAAAGCAGGAGGAAAAAAAGGGAAAGTTGCTTTATTTTGACCAATGAAATTAAAATTTTAAATCAACAAAATAATTTAATTAATTATAATAATTTTTTCTCTCTTTTTTTACAATCAATTAAGTTATTAGTATGCACTTGTGTCTTCCACCCTAATGGTAACAAAGCCATAATAAAGTTTAATTTTTTTTTTTTGAATAATGGTTTGAATTTAAATTTTGTAAATATGTTAAAAAATTATTAATATAAATGATCCATTCTGATTTAATGATATTGAATCATAAACTAAAATTATTTATTTTTTATAAGTGACATGTTAAATCTCTACAAAATTTCTTTTTCCTTTTCTCTATTAATATAGGTAAATAGCACCTGGCACTTGAGGCCTAGTGACATTAGCCATCGGTGCATTTCTCCCCTCCCTCAGACAAGGTTCGATACCCGTCCCTTGCAAAATATGTTCAAAAAAAATTAATATACGTAAATAATTTTAAATTATTACAAAAAAAGTTATTAGTATATCTTGCGAATATAGCTTGCCAAATTAATTTATGATTTGTAGGAAATCTCCTCTGTATATCTTATGATAATGAATGCAGTAATCTAAATCTAAATATAAAAATTTTAAGTCCGTACTCCATCCCATCTCTCTCATCACTCACTTTTTTGTTTTTTTCTCTCAAACCTCCTTCGTATCTCTCTCATCACTTATTACTTGCCCACTTCTCACACTTCAAATTTCACATTGTAATTATCATTTGACCTCGAAAGCGACTCAATTAGTGTGCTAGTTTCAGGTTTGTTTTGGGGGCATTGTGGTCTTTTTACCCTAAACACCCTGTCCTCAACATTCATCTTTCGGTTTTAAATCACCTTTTTACCCTTCAATTTCCTTCTGTAACTTACCTCCTGGCTCCTGCTTTAGATGGTGAGAGGCAAAATGGCTATTTACTTATTAAACCATTCCTTCTTCTTTTCTTTAGCTGGAATTTAGGGGAGTGTGTTTCAAGCTTTTACCTTTCTGCTTTACACAGGTCTTTCACCATTACTTCTTTGACCTTTTACTCATCCCATTCTTTTCTGTTCTCCTTTTTTCGATTCTGCTTTTGTTCCTTTTCTCTCTCCTTTTTTCTACTGTTATGAAAAGAAGATTATGAAATGAAAAGAACGTTATCATTTCATTTGATTTCGTACGTTTGTAGAATCAGTGGACAGTTCACATTACTTTATTTTTTATGTTGTTTTTCACTTTTAATTATGCACTATTTTTAAGTGCTTTATTTCAAAAAATTTATTAATTAACTTAAATTTCCCAACACACCACGTAGTGGGGTGCAGGTTGCTAGTTAAGTTATGATTCTCAAGTCTCTCAATTTCTCTCCCATCCACCTTAAATTTTTATCAATTGAGATACATCTTTAGCGCCTTAAAAATAGTTTAAGTTTTTAATTAAGTTCCAACAACAATGGAATGGAGTTGGAATAGGAAAAGCTGAAGAAAATTTATGTTTTGTGTGTGGTACGTATAACCTGATGATATGAAAACGGAAATTGGAAATAGCTATTTCTTTTCAAATTGGTTAAATAATGTTCATAAAGAAGTTGAAGAATCAATTATGCCCGCTAGAAAACATTCCATAGCATAAACATGAATGCAAAACAAAGTATGATCAATTAAACCTATAAATTAATGACATTAATTAATTAAATCTTTTCTGTATAATACTACATAATTATTTTCAGTTTGATTGATGACAAAAAAACCTTTCCAATAAGGAAGGCATGTAAATTAGTTAGTTAAATTATTAATAAAATGACACTTTTCACCTGTAAGAGAAAAAAACCCTTTTCTGTATATTTTCCCATACATATGGAATCAAATACAAGAGAGTAATTAAACTGATGGGACTAACACGCTCTAAGAAAACAAATTACGTGTAAAGAATAAGCATACAGCAGCAACATCCAGCATACTCCTGAATTATTGCATGCACTAGCACATATAGCCAGATTAACCACCCGGATATCCCTTCTTAAAAAAAGAATAAAAGCGAAAATCCATCTTGCATTTTTATTGTATGAAATAAAAGGTACTGTTGTGCAGCATAAAGGATTAGCCCTGGCAGAATATGGAGTGAGGCATGAATGGTTAGTATGGTTTGCAGTGATCTGGTCTTTATGGTCGCGGTAAAATCAGGAAGTCTTTAATGTTTGTACAGTAAAGATAGTGGAGCTTGCTAGTGCAGGTGAGAAATCTTGGTTGTACTTGAAAGCAAAATTGGAGGGTGTGACTGAATATTTTAATTCAACATACGAAGATAATGTTAAAATAAGGAAGTTGAAGAACCAATCCTGCCCCTATAAATTAAGGACATTTAAAAACGTTCCCTATATCGTGTCTTGGAGTCAAAACCTTATTCTATTTGTCATTTGAAGAAGCAATTCAGCCCCTATAAATTAAGGAAATTTAAAAATGTTTCCGTACATCTGTATTGGAATCAAAACCTTATCCTATTTGTCATCAATCAAATCACAAGCTGAATTAATTTATTATTATTATTATTATTATTATTAGAGAAGACTTCAACCCTCTCTCTCTCTCTCTCTCTCTCTCTCTCTCTCTCTCTCTCTCTCTCTCTCTCTCAACCAGCCATTTCTCTTTTTAGTATGCGAGCTTTGTACAGAGTAGTACTCGTGCATTAGTGTGTCACTCTGTTTTTCCTTTATGTTGATATCTACACATAATTGAGACAGTACCGGATCGCTCATTTGGCTCTAGAGAAGAAACAGGCAGCTGAAATTGCATTTCTCTTCACATGGCAGGGGCTTTCAGCTGGAAGAGTGTACGTGAATATGTATACAGTTACTACCCCCTGGACTCTGGCGCTGATTCGGCTGGCGCTGGTTTTGCCAGCTCTAGTTTCGCCAGCTCTGGTTTGGCCTTCACAGGTGTTGTTAATATTACTAAGCCTTAGACTCATCTTCAAAGAAATGAAAACTGAGGTGTACATATATAAGTTTGCAACTAACCTTATTTTCACTCTGTTGTGTGTACATTACAGCTTTACTTTCCGGCTACTCGACTGCAAAATATGGATATTTAGGTTACTTGGTTTTGTGGATCCAACAGCAAGGAATGTCCGGCCTTAGAACTTCAGTGATCTTTGCAAATCTCCAAAAAGGATTGGGAGCACTTTTTGGCCTTTTTTTGGTATACATGGCAAAATTCCGCATGGGTCTCGCCAGAACGACTCTCTACACCTATGCATCTTTCATCTCTGTAAGTTCATTTTTCTAGCTGCGTCTTTAATTCCGTGGTATAAAAACAGGTGTTCCTCTGCCTTTTCACCTCTCTAAGGTTTGG